ACGGGTTCGAGTCCAGGCGGCGGTCCCCCCCGCCCCCCCCCCCCTGCCAAACTCTGCCTCTGTGTGACCTACCTTGATCATTTCTGTGAACAGAAGCGACATGTCCATGCCGAGGGTCATGTTCTGGATGACCTTACGAATGGTGGTCAGACGGAGCTCGGCGTCCTTCGAGTCCAAGCACATGTTCAGCTGCTGCTTCAGCTTGTTGGCCTCACTCAGCACAGACATGCTGCTTCGACCTTGCCAAGTGGAGTGAAGATAGGGTGGTCACGCCGAGGGCCCAGGGGCTAGCCCGGCGCGACGGACGGGCACGGCTTGGTTGGCCGACCCCTCACACCACCTGACCAGAACCAGAGCCAGAGCCAGAGCCAGAGCCAAACACCTCCTGCCACATCACCCACCAACGTCTCTCCCCCCCTCCCCCTCCCGCCCCTCCCTACACGAATGGACGGCGAGGGCGATGGCGAGGCGGCAGGACGGTGGGCTGGGCGTGAGGCAAGGACGAGCGGACGGCGTAGTCTCAAGGCGCTGCTGGCGCCCAAGGCGGCCAATCCGCTCAAGTTGTCGTTCCACTCGCGGCTGCCGGAAGCCCGCTTCGATGTGGTGTGTATGGCGTACAACAGCCGGGAACAGCATGTGGCCGTGGCCGATACGGGTGTGCTGGCGCTGTATGGCTACACGACCCGATCGGGAGGATGGCGTGGCGGGGCGGCACGGCGGGCTGATCCGCTGGCCAAGCCCATCGCCACCGTCCCCACTGATGGCAGACTCGAGTTCCTCACATACATGCCACACGTCGGCAACGGCGTCTACGTCGGCGTTGTCAACTCGTCCGATGTGGTGGTGTGGAATGCGTCGCTCACCCGATCGTCGCGGCTCGCCACCCACACCTCGCTCTCGGTCATGGGCTTTGGCTGGCACCCGCACCGCGATGAGCTTTTTGCCGGCTTCAACATGGGCCTCTTTTGTGTCTGGCATCTGGCTGTTCCGCATCGCCACGTCCGCTCGGCCAAGCTCACGTCGTCGGATCTGGGCGCCACGCTTACTCCGCTTGTCCACACGGAAAACGAGACCGAGTGGCTCGGTAAGCTTGTCCTCGATCACGTCCACGCGCGAGTCCTCGGCGTCGAGTTTTCTCATCTGGTGGTGCTCTCGTATGACACCGGAGAGGTGCTCTTCCGTTTCTCCAAACTTCACGCGTCGACCATCACCGCGCTGGCGTTTGAGCCGTTTGCCGGCGTTGTCTTTACCGTCGCTGCCGACTACGCCATCCACGCCTGGTCCATCATCACTGGCGCCTGCCACCTCAAGGTGACTTGCACCGGACACACCCATCCAGTAACGCACCTCGCGGTTGCATCCGACGCACTTCTGCTCTCGACCGGCGACGACGGCCTCATCGTTCTGTGGGACACGTCAGCCGGCGTCGAGCTCGCCCGCTTTGCCCTCGCCTACCCAGTCGGCTTTGAGGGCTACCGCGATCCACCGCCACCGCATGCCCGGTCGTGGGATCCAATTCGGCTTCGTGTTCCGGCGGTGCAGCTGCTGTTTCTCCCTGCCGACGTTGCACCGCCGCCGCTCGGGTTGGGCGCCAGCGTGCCAACCACGCCGACCAGCGCAGGTGATCGGGATAGAGGGGCGAGCTCGGCGGTTCTTGACCGAAAGTCGCGGTGCGAAGGCGCGTGTGTGCTGGCGCGGGCCGGGAACCAGGTGGCGAGTGTGTTGCTCCACCAATCAGCTCTCCCATTTCTCTCCATCGCGGCACCGGTTGTTTCAGTCCAGCTCACGACGATGCCTGCAGCCGGATTTTCGTTTGCGGGCGAGACGCTGGTCTGCGACACCACGTCGACGCTCCACGTCTTTGACACCGAGTTCCGCAACCGGCGAGCGCGGTACCGGTACCTCGACTTTTCCGCCCTCTCCGAGGCTGTCCGCGGCAAGCTGACGGCGCTGAAGCGCGACGCGCGCGCGCACGCCATCTCGGAAATCTTGGCCGATTCCTCGTATACCGGAGCGACGTCGTCGAGTCAGGCCACCATCGTCAAGTTTGAGTATCTGGCCGCCTTTGACCGGTTCGCCTTTGGCTACTCAGACGGCACCGTTGAGCTGGTCCGACCATCGTTCGAGTACTCGGCGTTTGAGGATTCGGACCGCATCCTTCCGCTGGGAACCGATAGCCTGCTGCCGCTGGAGGAGACGCCGGTCTCACCGATCACAACCTGGCAGCTTGTTCGAGTCTCGGCTGATGTCTGCCCGCAGTGCTCGGTCATGTGCGCACAGATCGATGTTGCGCGGGCTGCCAGCCGCCCGATGGACTACCTCGAGGTGGCGAGCGAGCAAGTTGCTGGCTCTGCCTCGCTTGCAGACCTTGGCATCAAGAAGCACGTCTCGCCGCAGGCCAGAGTCCGTGCTAGGGTGGAGGCCTTTGTGGCCGAGCAGGTTGCCGCTGACGATGCCAATGCTGCCGCTGCAGCCGCCGAGGCCAACCTCCGTGGGCGGCAGCCGATCGATGATGTTGTTGCCGACGCTTTTGCCAATCTACAGAGCTCGACCTCGCTGCTTGCGGTGGAACGCGCACGGGCGGCCAACGAGGACTCGGAGTTTGGCGCTCTCGAGCCGTCGATCCAGGCCGACCTGTTGCAGCGGCGCGAGGTGCTGATCAACGCACGGCGTGGCGGGTCTGCGCCCGATTCGGCTGACCTTGACTCGACGACCCTCTTCGACCGGTACTGGCGGTACAGAGACGACGCCGAGGCTCTGCACCGCAAGCTCTTTCCGCCGCATACGCACCCGTCGCCGCGGATCCTCCCGTGGTACGTCTTTGCCATTGCTTTTGGCGATGGCACGTTTGGTGTGTGGTGCCCGCACTGCGGGTGCAAGCTCCGGGCCAGCCCTGCGCTTGCCTCGCGGCTTCCGATCTGCTCCATGTTTGTGCTTCCGGGCCGCGGGCCGGAGCCGGACTCACTGATCTGTGTCGCGACGTCGGCCGAGCTCCTGTACGCTCCGCTCTCTGCCATTGCCAGCCAGCCGCTGAGGCAAGTCGGCGTGGAGGTGAGCGATACGCCCACGTCGGCGCTGATGCTGACGACGGCCATGGTGGTGAGTGCGGTGGCGGTGGCGCCGAGCCACGGCTTTCTCCTCCTCGGCTCGACCGTCGGACGGGTGTATCCGATGGCCTTGCTCCGGCAGCCAGGCTCGCACGAGACTAGCCCTCACAAGCTTTATGGTGCGGAGCAGCTGACCCAGCTTACGGGTCATACTGGGGCTGTCACCGCGTTGGATCTATGTTCGCGCGCGAGACACGCAGTCTCGAGCTCGGACGATGGCACGCTGCGGGTGTGGGACCTAGACAAGCTCCTCTGCGTCCACGTTCTCGATCTCGGCATGCCGATTACCTCGGTCGAGTACCTTAATCGGTCCGAGGACGTCTTGGTTGCTGCCGAGCACGAGGTCCTTGTGCTGCGGGCTTCCCCGCATGCGGCGTGCGTCGAGCTCGACGCCCAAATCGCCATCATCGACATGGCGTCGGCGCTCGAGTCGCGCATCGAGTCGATGATCGGCTCGCCGGCAGTGGCCTCGGTTGATCCAGACGACCCGACCAAGCTCAGCATCCAGCTCGACGGGCATCAACTGGCTGAGATGGCATACTCGTACATGGACCCACAGATGGATGTCGACCTTTTGCACGCCGCACGGCACGCGCTCCGGTCAGGCATGCGTGCCAAGTGGCGCCGCGCTCGCCTCCGCCTCCTGACCGTTATCCGGCTCTGGCGCCGCTCTTCGTTTATTCAGCGGGTACTTAGCAAGGCCGAAAACAACCCGCTTGTCGCCGATGACGAGCGGAAGGAGCTGCGCCGGCTGCTGCGCTTCCACAGCGCCGGAAACCCGTCGCTAATGAGCATGGAGAGCAGCGGAGAAGAGCCGTCTCTTGCGGAGCTCAGCTCACCATCGACGTCGAGCTCGAGCCTAGCGCCAGGCGGCTCGGCCATCGACGGCTATCTGAGTCGGGTGAGCCGGCCGCCTGCGGCAGCTAGCGCAGACTTTGTGGATCGGGTGCTCGGCGCAGCGACAGCAGCGGACGAGGTTGGCGGGGCCGACGAGGCCTCGATCGCCGAGTCCACGGCCGCACCGAGCCTCCGCGACCTCCTTGCAGCTCTTCCGTGAAGCGCATCACTCCTCGGCGGCAGCGCGGACGCGGGCCGAGAGCGAGCGGATGACCGGACGGAGGGTCCACGAGATGATGACGGCAAGCGGGAGGAGGAGGATCCAGGCGGCGACGCCGGCCAGAAGCGAGCGCCAAAAGGCGGAGAGTGCAGAGAGGAGATCGGTGGTAAAGGGCTCGATGGCGATGGGCAGATGATCGAGGCCAAAGGCCCACTCGCCGAGGCGGATGATAGGCACAAACGAGGCGAGGTTGAGCGGGGTGACAGCAAAGTTGGCGGCCATGACCGGGACCACATTGAGCGAGAGGAGGTAGGCGAGGAGGAGGCAGGGCAGCGAGGTGAGGCCCGGAATGGGGAAGATCCCGCCCATCACGCCCCAGCCGAGCGCATCGGCAATGGCTTCGGGTGTCGTTCCTGTGTTGATGGTGGAGGGTAGGGGTGAGTGTGTGGGAGTCTGGGAGGGGGGGGTAGCGGGAGGGGGGGGGGGGGGGGGAGGGGGGAAGGGGGGTGCGGGAATGAGGGGGGGTGCGTACCGGACTTCATCACCTGGACCACGGGAGTGACCACCTTGTCATGGATAAACTGCATAGGAGACGGGGGAAGGGGGGAGGGGGGAAGTGTGGTGTGGGGGCTGGGGCTGAGAGTGGGAGAGAATGGGGGGAGGGGGGGGGGGGAACATGGGGCAGCAGGGAAAAGGGAGACTCTTTTGCAGCACGATAACAACGTCGGCTACTCCTCATCGTTGTCAGCAGCCAGCACATCGGGAGGGAGGAGCGGGAGGTTGTCGCCCAAAAACGTGAGGATGAACTTGGCCTTCTTCTCGGAGACCTTGGAGGAGTGGCGAGCCATCATGTGTGCGTCCTGGGCGTCTGGCCGCCGGAGGAGTACCGAGGAGAAGACGTAGGCGAGGCGTGAGGGGTGAGCGACGGCGAAAGATCGGTGAGCTCGCGGAGGAATGCCATGAGGTAGGTGAAGACGTTGTAGTTGATGGCCGGGAGGACGCCGACGAGGTCGATAGCGGCTTGCGGCGAAGCGGCGGCCTCGATGGCGCGCGGGAGCATTCGGAAGGGAATGACCGGGGTTGCGAGGCAGGCGAGGAACTTGAGTAGGGCCTCGGCGACTGAGTGGATGGAGCCCGAGTACGCGAGCAGGCCCTGGCCCGAGTCCAGCAGCGAACGGATGGTGGCGAGCTCGGCCTCATCGCCTGACTCCTGGAACAGCCCAATATCGTCAGTCGAGTGTGTGTAGAGGTAGTCGGCAAGCCACCACAGCTCTTTGGGCACCGAGAGAACGGGGGCGTCAGGCGTGGCGCATGAGCCGGCGGCGGCAATCGGCCCCGCCAGCCGGCACAGGTGGTCGAGCGAGGCGCCAAAGGCCGACTTTGCGTACTCGCCACGGACGTTGACAAAGTAGTCCTTGCCGTTCTCGAGGTGCAGGATGAGGATGTCCTCCAGTTCCTCCTCGCCAAGGTTGAGCCGGGTGCCCCACTCGTTGTCGACCGTGAGCGTGAGCATGACCTCGGCCGACTTGCCGGGCATCAGCAGGCCACGCTCGGGCTCAATCGAGAGCCACGGCTTGCAGTATGCCCGCTGCGTGTCACCGGGCTTGGGGATAAAGCTAAAGTGGATCATGACCTGCCCGTTGTTGTGGACAACAAGCGACTGCGAGAGCGGCTCCTTAAAGTGGACGGTGCCAAAGTCAAAGGTCGACGACGAGAGCGTGGCGTCGGGCATCGACTCGTTCTCCAGCTGGTCAAGCTCGCGGACAACCGAGTGGTAGATGAGCGCCTTGCGCTCCTTGACCACAATCTTGGCCTCGCCGGTAAAGACCGCCGAGACCGGCTTGTGGTCTGAGGTGAGCAGCTCGTGGTGGCCGCCGTAAAAGTGCTGGTTCAGCACCGACCGGCGCGCAATCCACAGCACCCGGTCGCACCACGCCGGCGAGCGCTTCTTTTCCGACGTGTCGAACCGCGAGGTGCCCGGGTCGTACTTGTACGTCGGCTTAAAGTCAATCTGGCCCTCAGCAAAGCCCACAAACGTTCGCTTTGCTCTCCGCTCCACCATCAGCTGGTCGTGCTCGAGCAGCGCGTCCCACTCCTCGGCCGCCACGTGCGCTTTGATCTGCGCGTCGGCCAGCGTAGAGATGCGGTAGTTGAGATCGCCAAGCCAGAACAAGTAGTCGTGGTCAAAAATGCCGTACGCCCGCCCCGAGTCGGCGGCAACTCTCGCCGACGAGTCGGCCTCGCTTCCGGCGCCCGACGGCTTGGAAGCTCCGCCGACCTGAAATGCTAGTCTCCGGCAGATCTCCTTGTGGTCCTGGTTCCGCCGCGCCACGTTGCCCATCCGCGCTGCAAGGTGCGAGTTGACAAAGCAGAACCGCGAGTCGTGGAACCGGAACCGGATGGCCACGCCACCCTTGTTGCCCATCACGCCCATCACGCCCACGCCCGCCACGTCCGTCTGCACGTCCGAAATGTACGGCAGAAACTCGGTCCGCACATACACACACAGCAGGATGCCCACCAGCTGCTTCGACGTGATGAGCACGTAGTCACCGTGCTTGGACAGCGCCTGCTCGATGTGCTGCTCCCACGGCGCTGACCGCGTCGTGTTGTTGAGAAGAAAGGCCTCAGCAGAGAGGTCGAGTTCTTGGAAGCCGACCGCGTAGATGTCCGATGGCTCGTCGTGCGCGCACAGCCACGGGTCGAGCTCCTCGCCAGGCTTCTTGCCGTTCACGTTCCACGTGCCCACAAAAAGCCGGAACGGGACCTTGTCGGTAAACTCGTCCTCACGGACAAGCATCTGCTCCTGGATCCACTGCTCTTTGATGTCCATCACCGCGTCCGGGTTCGACAGCGCACGTCCAGAGGTCCCGATGAGCGGGTTGTGCAGTTCGTCATCACCGCCTCCGTCCGAGGACACAACCGAGCCCTTACGCCTGTTCATCTCCGCCCCACTCGACCCGGCCCCGCCGCCCACCGTCAGCAGCCTGCCACCATCATCGCCTCCATCCTCCGCACCCTCCTCATCGTCGCTCTCAGACTCCGAGCCTGCAGACGGACCGGCCCGGCTCGCCGCCGCTGAAGACACCACCGGTCCTGCTCCGGACGCCGTCGCCATCGCCAGCTCGGGTTCGTTATCCGGCTGATCCACAATGGCGTAGTACGAGAGCCAGTCTAGCGCCACAGCCCCGGCCTCACGCGCAGCTTTGAGCGCCGTCATCATCGGTACCAGCATCTCTTTCACGCTCACCCGCGAGATCTCAAACACATACTCCTCGCCCGACGCCACGCCCTCATACGAGATGGAGAACTTGTCGCCGCCGAGGCCCTTGCACCGAAACGCAGGCGTAATTGGGTAGACTCCTTTGAGGATCGGCTGCGAGAACCGCTTCGACTTGAGCGTCATCACCGCACTTTGTCGCTTCCGCGCCGGCCCGCTCTGCACAAGTGCAATCATCCGCGCCCGCATCTTCCCCGACGTCTTCTTCAGAAACTTGGCCTCGCATGCCTACACCTCCCACATCCCCCCGCCACATTTCCGTCACAAGCCATGAGTCCCATAACGATGTCCGTCCGTCCCTGTGACCCCCTGGCCCCTCCCCCCGGCCCTGGCTCTTCCCCCCTGGGTGTTCACCAAAAAACACAGGCACAAGGCCACAGCCCCTCCCCTCCTGCCCTCCCATGACCACCCATGTGCGGCAATTGGCACCATGGGAAGAGGACGTACAATGACAACCGTCTCCTCGGGGCGGAGGTAGCGTTCTATCGCCTTGCGGGCTGACTCACTCATGCCCTGCTGGCTGTAGAGAGGTGGGGGTTGGTTGGGGTAGGGGTAGCGGGAGGTGTGGGTGGGGGGGAACTGTGGGTGAGTCGGGCAGTCGGGCGGGTGGTGCTGGGCGGCGAGAGGTTCCACTCCGCTGCTGGCGACACGAGGGCTGATTTGGATTGTATCGGCTTGTACTCCACATCGACGCCGATACACGCCGGGGGGGGGAGGGGGGGGCGATTGCTTCAACTTAGACGTCGGCAGCCATAGACGAGGGCGCGAAGATAAAATCGGCTGCAAGGGCAAAGTGATCCGAAGGATACTCCCATGACGGGAGGCGGACGTCGACAACGACGTCCTCGGCTGGGATGGCCAGAGTGGAGGAGACGGTGAGGGCGGCCGGCTGGTAGAATATGTAGTCGATGGTGTGCTTGGCCTCCTTGCCTGGGCGTAGCTTCCATGTTGTGTACGCAGGCTCAGAGTCGGCACTCCGGCCGCCGTAGGCCGATGCCAACTCTAGATCGGCAGCCATCATGGCGCGCCAAGCCTTGGCAGGATACTTGGCGTCGTGCGGCGCGGCGTTGAGGTCGGCGCAGACCACCAGCGGGGCATCGCCGGCACCGGCTTGCATAAACGCCTTGGCCTTGGCCAAAAGATGCACTGCCTGGCCCTCGCGGATGTTCTCGCCCTCGGCAGACTTTGTGGCCTTGAGATGGGTGACCGCCAGGGTCAGCGCCCGGCCGGACTCGGGTAGCTCGGCGCGGGCCAGCAGCGCAACCTGGTTTGCGTCCGGAAAGCTGATCTGCTCGACAGCTGCCAGTCGCAGCTTGGACGAGCGTACAAAGAGAGCTACGCCATCCTCCAGGTCGCAGAACTGAAGACAGGGCGAGTTGGCCTTCTTGAGGAACACGCCCTCGTAGCCCACCTTTGCGAGCATGGGCTCAAACCAGTCGGCAAAGTGATCGACCTCCTGCATGGCCAGCACATCGGGATCAGCAAGCAAAACTTCCTCCAGCAGCCGCCACTTGCGGGTCTCAAACTGAAGTGAGCCTTCAGGCGCCGCGTAAAAGCCACCACGCTCCTCCTGCAGGCCCGAGAGGCCGTCAGCGAGCACATTGAACTGCATGATCCTCACGCCTGTTGCCTCTTCCGCCGCATCATCCACACCAGCCATCGCCCATCCACGCTTGTACAGTCCAGGCCGTCCATCCAGAGCAGCAGCAGCCTATCGATGGGTGTGAGTAAGCGTGTGGTTAGGGAGGCAGGAAAGAGGGGGACGGTGCGGTGGGGGGGGGGGGGTGAGGAGCGTACCTGGGCCAGTAGCGCCTCGCGTTGGGCATGCACGTCTTTGGTGGCAGCCATTCGAGAGAGAGACGGAATACGGGTGGGTGTAGAGGTGTGGTAAGGGGTGAAGGGGGGGGGGGAGGGGGAGGGAGGAGGGGGGAATGGAGGTGGGGGTGGGGGGGGGGGAGGGAGGGGCCAGAAGGTTGGAGGGAGGGGGGGGGTCATCGGTGGTGGGCAGGTCATGATGAGGTTTGATCGGTTTGGGCCGAGTGGTGGCAGGAGGAGGGGAGCGGACGAGCATGACGGGTACTGATGGAATGTTGGATCCGTGACGAGAGAAGGGGAGAGGTGGGTGGGTGGGTGGGTGGGGGAGGGTGAAATCGAGCTGGCGATGGGCATGGGGTACGTGGTGGTCGGTAGTCAGTAGAGATGAGTCGGACCCATGCGCAGATGGATGACTACAAGGAGGCCGCGGCTGTTCTCTCGTCCTCTGCTGTGATACCCCCGGGCAGCTCCTGATTCCCGTCTACGCTGCTCCAGCGACGCCAACTGCTCCGATGTTCGCTATCTATCCATAGGCCACCACCGATCTCAGTGTAGCTACGCCCTGCGGCCGCACCCCGATGATGCGTGAGGTCAAACGGGAACAGGGTCGCGGTCTGTCTACGGCCGCAGCTTGGCCAAGCTGGGAATGTGCAGTCCAATCGAAACAGTCTTGACTTTGCATCGAGAGTGCTGACTTGGCGGGATCAGGCACAAGGCATTGCGATGAGGCGAGGAATGATGCGGCGAGTCGGGCTGCGCCGGTCAGGCGGGCGTGCCTGATCCTCGTCGGCGGGCAGCGTGGCCAGAGAGACCATCCCTCTACCTGCGGACATGGCCAGCCAACAGGTGTACAACATCCCTGCGCTCAAGGGCCGCATTGTGTGGGTGGACGAGCCGTACATGTCGCTGGCGGAAGGAACGGGCGCGGTGGTGTTCGAGGCCAAGGCCAAGGCCGACCTGAACGTGGCTCTGGCGACGCATCCGGCGGGCGTGCTGCCGTCTCAGGACGGGAGAGGCGATGGCGCGCCTGAGTTTGAGCTCGTCATCGGGGGCTGGCTCAACACGAAAACTGCTCTGCGAGTTGACGGCAAGGTGGCTGCGGCCAAGACCCTGTCTGAGGACCCCGCGGCTGCCATCGCCCACTGTGGCTTTGATCACTACTGGCTTGTGGTCTCGCAGTCGTTCCTGGCCTACGGCAAAGGTCCGCGCCTCGGCATGGCTCCGCTGCTTGTCCTGCCACGTCCGCAACATCATCCCCATGGTCATCGCCTGTTTATGGGCTTCACCACCTGGGGCTGGCCCGTCACCATTCGCTCGCTCAACGTCTACCCGCACTATGAGCCCGATCTGGTCCTCGCAGCTGCGCTGGCTCGGCTCTCGCCGTCTCTGTCACCCTCGCCAGACTCGCTCGACCTGCCCCTCTACGCCAATGCTCCGCAGAACGATGCTCGCGCTGGAGCGGTAGCGGACCTTGCTGATCTCGTCGTCGTTTGGCCCGACGGCGCGGAGCTGAAGGTCCACAGCCTAGTCCTCGCTGCGCTCTCGCCGCTTCTCGCTGATGCCATTGCCGAAAGCGATGGATCTGGCTTGACCTTTCTGCAGCGTGGCGAGCCGCGTCCTGCGTCGCCGCCGGCGCTTGTTTCGCACATCACCCGGCTGATTGTTGCCGATGCCGCCGCGCTCCCGCCGCAGCCACTGGTAGAGCTCCTCTCTGTCGCCTACGGAGTCTTGCCCCCGGATCGAGTCTCGACCGCAGCGCATGACGTTGCCGCGGTGCTCGGCATCGAGCAAGCCAGATTTGCGCAGCCGCTGGCGTCGAGCCACTCGGTGTGGCGGCCGTCGCTTTTGATGTGGCCGCAGGTGTGGCGGACGCGGTGGTCAGCCTGCCTCGCCGACATGCCCCACTCGGACGTCGTCCTTGTTCTCGACTCGGGGGACGTGCTCGCGGCTCACAGGCTTGTTCTTGCAGCCTGGTCCGAGTACTTTGCGGTGATGTGGGCTTCTGGCCTGCGCGAGGCGCAGGAAGCGCGGGTTGTGCTTCCGGATGTGGGTGCAGGCGAGATGACGGCACTGCTCAACTACTGCTACTTTGGCCAGTTTGTTGTGGACGGCGAGCTTGCGGCCGGCGACGCGTCGGCACCGCCGCTGCCAGCCGAGCTGGCGCCAGGCGTGCTGGCGCTTGCCGATCGGTTCGGCATGCACAAGATCAAGGCGCTTGTCGCCACTGCGCTCTACCGCTGCCTCGAAGTCGACAACGTGCTCGATGCAGCCTATCTGGCCGAGGTTCTCGGCTGCCGCGAGCTGCTCCGCGGCTGTCTGGTCTTTCTCGCCAAGCTCCTGCCGGAGTTGCTTCAGCCCGAGTCGGAGCTCGCCGACGACCCCACCGAGCTCGGCACAGACCTTGCTTTCCTCACGCCCGACGCGATGCTAGCTCTGGTCTCTGCCGCGCGGCTGGGCGCGCTCGCGCCGCACCTCGGGCCTGCCCTCGTTGCGCTGGTCGTTGCCTGGCACGCCGAGCGGACGGCGGTGGCGCGGCTCGACCCAGACGAGCGCGAGGCCCGGTCGAGATCGAGATCGAGATCGAGGTCGCGGTCGCGGTCGCGGCCTATGTCGCGGCAAGTCTCGCGGCCGATGTCGCGGTCGTCGTCACCCACGCGCGAGCGGCGGCGGTCGCTGGCGGCCGAGCCCACCGGTAGGTCGGTGTCTGACTCGGATGACTCGGGTCTGCGAATCATGTCGATGCCGCGGTCGCTGTCATCGGCATCGCTGGCGTCAATGGTCTCGCTGGCGCTCTCCGACCTCGATGACGAGCTGGCGAGCCAGGTGTCGCGTGCGTCGTCGCCGACGCCGCTCCCCATTGCTCGCCGCGACGACAGCGGGCCCGAGACTGCTTTCGCGGCACTTGCTGCGGTCCTCGACACGCTCGCCGGCGCATCGCCGCCAAGCGATTACCTCGCATTTCGCAAGCACGTGCTCTCCTCGTTGACAAGCGCAAGCGGATGCGCAAGTCCCAAGTCGCGGGCCAGCGACAGCGCCGGCGCCAGCGGCGAGAGCGTGCCGGCTCAGGCAGCCGAGTACGTGGCCGATGTAGGCGAAGTGCTGGCGAGCCCTGCGGGTGAGCCCGACGGCGAGCTGCTGCTGTACTCGTTTGACGGTGACACCAATGGTGTGGTCTACCACTACGGCACAGCGTTTGGCACGTCTCGGACCTTTAGGTCGCCACACCTCAATGGCGTGCTTCGGGTCCTGTCTGACTCACCCGAGTCGCGGTACACACAGCGCAAGCGGCTTGTCGACCGCAAGGCGGTCTCGAACAACTCGACAACGGCGTGGTGGATGCTGGATCTCGGGCCGGGTGCGCGGTTGGCCGCCAACTACTACACGGTGCGGCATACCCACACCGGCGGCAACTACCTCCGCTCATGGATACTCGAGGCAACCAACGACGAGGCGGCGCTCGGCCCGGCTACAGCGCGTGGGGACGTGTTGTGGACGCGGCTCGTTGTCCACAACGACGACCACTCAATCACCTACGCCGGCCAGTACGCGAGTTGGCCCATCGAGCTCGCAAACGATGCGTTCCGGGTCTTCCGCCTCCGGCTGACCGGCCCGACGTCCGACGGCGCGCATCTAATCTCCATCTCGGACATCGAGCTGTACGGGCGGCTCGTGCGCAGCCGCTCGGCCTTTGGCGGCGAAGCCGGCCCCTCGTCTACCTGACATGGACCGAACGGTGCGAAGTAAACGGATCCAGCGGCCGGATGTCGACCGGGAGGCCAAGGCCGTTGACAGCGTCGATGCCGGCACCGAGGGGGCCAGTCAGCTGAGCGAACGTGTCGAGCAGGCTCTGTGCGCCGGCCTTGTCCCCGGTGCCCTGAAGAGTCATGATGCGAGTGGTGAGAGCCTCGACAGAAGTAACCATGGCGGCCTCGTTGACTGTGAACGTCGTTGCTGACTCATCGTATGAAATCGCCCCGGCCTCGACAAGGTAGTTGAACTGCAGCGCCACGCCCTGACCATGGGCTTCCTCGAGGCCAAAGCGGACAGAGCGAAAGGCCGAGACGAGAAAGGTGGTGACGACTGACTTTGTCGAGAGCGCCGGCGACGTTGGCAGCGTGCCGTCACCAAGAGCGCGGAGGAGAGCCCAGAGGCCAGCGATGTCGGCCTTGGCCTCCTCTAGCGACGAGTGCAGCTCGGCAAGCGCAATCTTGACTGGAACCGCAGGGTCTGCCGCCGGCACAACGGTGTGCGGGCCAAGGCCGTGGAGGAGCTCGTGGAAGAGAGTGTGGTAGAAGAAGGCGTCAAAGGTGACAAAGTCGACAAGGGCGGGTGGCAAGAGGCGCTTGGCCATCGGCTTGAGGATGGTGTCAAACTTGGCTTGGAGAACGTTGATGAGGACCACACGGCGGGTGCCATACGCCGCAGTCACTGCCGCTGAGTTGGGCAAGTTGAATGCTGTAGTCTGCACGCCGGCCTTGGAGTCGCCAGCGACAAAGACCTGGTGGGTGACGACGATCGACGACGACGACCCGACCGACGGGTTCTTCATCTCGGCCGGGATGGGCAGCGCGTTCTCGATGTCCTGAAGCGTGGCGAGAAGCGAGACCAGTGCCTCAGTCCGCAGGTGGTCGATGAGCCCAATGTTGGCGGAGAATGCGGCCTTGTAGCCGAACAGGCGGTCTTCGTACGTCTCATACGGGCCCATGGTAACCATAAAGTCTGCAGTGGCGACGTCGATGGCGAGCCAGGAAATGTCCGAGTCGTCGTACGAGTCGTCGCGGAATGAAGCTGCACGGGCACGGAGAAAGGCGGCTAGCCGTGCATCGGCGACGTCGTCAGCAGCAAGCTCGAGCAGCTCTGCAGCCCGGGTGAGCTCCGAAGCGTAGGCGACCGAGTAGGGGACAGGCTCGAATGGGTCGGCAGTCTTGATGACGGTGTACGGTGAGAGTGCGGCGCGGGCATCGGTCGATCCCGGCGCCAGCGAGTCAAACCAGGCGGCAAGCGCGTCATGATCGACACCTTGCGGGTAAAAGTTGGCGCCGGGCGGCCGGGTTGCTGGGACCGGCGGGATGCCCCAAGCCGGAGCCGAGAGCGCCGGTGGAAGGACGTCGGCCTTGTTGGTCAGCCGCGACCACGGGCCAGCATGGAGCGTGGCCAGATCCAGGGTGCGATCAGCCTCGACGGCCCAGGCGTGCGAAGTACCAGCATCAAGACCAGCAGAGCGGGCAGCGGTGAGGCCCGCAAACAGAGCCGGGTTGCCCGCCCACGCCTGGCTCTTGAAGAGCTCGTCAAGGATGCGGGCGGCGTCGACGACACGAGTAAGGGCGAGTCCCTGCGCCGCCGATAGCTCGGCACGTAGCGTTGGTGCGTCCAAGAGAACCGGTGCAAACTGCGCCAGCGCAGCCTCGACTTCGGCCGTCGCCGCCGATGTCGGGCTCCGGGTTCTCGGGCCTGTCGCCGATGCCGAACGTGGCGAGGCGGCCAGCGCCAGGAGCAGGAAGACCGCCCCGAGGAGGAGGGCGATGACTGACGCACCCGAGGTGAGGGCGTGGGCGAGGGATGGGCGGTGTGTGCGAACGGCGTGCATGGAGGGAGTTGAGTGCAAACCAAGTAGCGGGGACCGGGTGGGGGGGCGGGGGGGGGGGGGGGAAACGGTCACAATTCCGGGGGCACACGGCTACTGGCGAGATGATGATGGACACTTGGTTTACTTCTTCTTCGAAGCCTTGGCCTTGGCGGCCTTGTCGGCAGCGCGGCGGGCGCGGATGCCGTGCTGGCGCTGGTTCTTGCGCTCAATGCGGAGGGTCTTGTAAACCGAGAACTTGGTGTCCTCCTCGGTGATGGCACGCGGGGCCTCGTTAACCTTCTCGTCAACGACAGCCATCGGGTGCTTGCGCGGGGCGGTGGCGACATCGACCGAGGCGATGACGTCGGCCGGAGCGTCAGCAAGGCGACGGCCCTTGCCCGGGCGCGGGAAGACGATGACGCGCGACATGTACTCCTTGAGGCGGGCGACGTTGCGGTCGACGGACTCCTGCGACGAGTTCTTGCGGCGGAGGTCGACGGCGATGCCGATGGTGCGGGCGTAGTTGCGGTTGATGCCAGCGGTCTTCAGCTCGAGGAGCGAGAAGCCACGGCCAGCGCGGAGGCGGCGACCGTACTTGATCGTCTGGCAGTGCACAGCCGGGCGGAGGGCATCCATCGGGCGCGGCGCAATCTGTAAACATATACATAGTTTCGCGTGAGTCGGGGCTGGGTCGCACGTGCAGACCTGCGCCTCAGAGCAGCTGCCGTCCTGCTGTGGTTCGGGTCGGTGCCGACCGAGTCATACGCAGACAAAATTGCCGAAATCAATCCGTCACGTCCACGTCGGCCGACTGTGACTTGCGCCGGGCATAGGGGCGCCCGGTGCGGATGCAGAGCACGGGAGGGGGGCAAACAAACACCGGGCTCTACGCTTGTGCAGAGTAGGGGGATGTGTGCGCACAGAAGCACAAACGCGGGGGGCAGGAAGGGGGAGGGGGGTGGGGACGATGGCAGGGCAGGTGATGCTGGGACGTACGCGGGCAGCCTTAGCGAGGCGGTTGTTGCGGCGGCGCTTCTTGCGGCCGGGCTGGTTGAACCTGCGGTGTTGAGGAGGGCGGGCGGGTGTGAGTAGGGCGGGTTGGTGTGTGTGTGGAGGGGGTGAGGGTGGGGCGCGGGCCGACGAGGCGGTGCAAAAACGGAGCGCTCATCCGACAAAGCCCGACGGCGTGGCAGTGGGTGTATGCGGAGGGAAGCAGGTCGCCAGGGACCCGAGACCACGTAGGAAGGGGCTTGCACACTACACATGCTACGTACCAGGTGCGGACGCGGTTCTGCCAGTCCTTGTGGAAATGGGCATTCGGGACCTGGTTGTTGTGAGACACCATGGTGAGAAAAATGCGAGAGATCTGGCTGAACAATCGAGTGAGAAAACGATTTGCGCGAGCTCAACTCATTGCCGCTCGCTCCCCAACTCGAAACGAGTCTCCGAACGAGTGAGTCGGGGCGGGACGGTCAACCAGTGCGAGCTGCCCGACAAGCAGGTCCACCGCGAACGAGGAGCTAGTCACGGGCTATCATCGAGGGTGGTGCAGTAGCGATGGAGCTGGGCCATGTTGGTGCGGATGGCGCGGATGTAGGCGCACTTGATGGCCTCCAGGCGACCTTGATGCGCGGCGAGGAGGCGGACCTTGTCCTCGAGCTGGGCAAGGAGCTCGTCCGAGGCGCTGGCCAGCCTCCCGCGCATCTCGACAAAGTCACGGATCGCGCCGCAGGCCAGATTCTGCAGAATCTGTGCGAGCGCGTCCGAGCCCTCGATGGCGTCGGTTGAGCCGACGGCGGCAAGGAGCTCGGCCCGCGCGCTGTCGTCGTCATTGGCGGCTTCGGAAAGAACGCGCTCGGGTCGGGGCTCCATCGCCGGTGGCGGCGAGGCGAGGACACTCGGAACAGGTCCGGCGGAAGCGTTTGTTGACTCGGGACGCCCTTGGCTGAGCGGGCGTGGCGGATCCAGGACGGTGCTTTCGCAGGGATCGGCACTACAGGGAGCGGCTTGATCGGCGCCGCGATCAACCACGCGATCAACCGGAGAGACTCGCAGTTCACGGCCTTTCCGAAAGCGGCATCGGGGGTGATGGGAGGGCGGGCATGGGCATGGGGGGGATGGACGGGGTGCGGAAGGGGTGTGCGCGGGTGCTGGGTAAAGAAAGGCGAGCGGTGAGGCCCAGGCGCCGGGCTGGACGGGTGGTGGGTGTTCATCGGATGCAAGACGTTTCGCAGCGTGAGAGAGGAGAAAGAGAGGGATGGCAGCCACCAGCCGGCCAGCGCTTCGATCGTCGCCGGCGCGGGAGCAGCGATGTGGGTGTCAGCTCATGCGTCGTCGTCCGAGTCGTCGGGCACCTCGGGATTGGGCGAGTCGAGAGCGGGCGAAGTGTAGTTGGCAAAGATGGAGTACTGGTAGACGAGCTGAGGGATGAGTGGCTTGAAGCGGACGGGCTTGACGCCGACGAGGCCATCAAGCAAGTCTGCGTTCTCCGAAACAGTGGTACAAATGATCTTGCCACCTTCGACCACCATGCGGTTGATGACGTCTGCGTAGAGCTCCCAGACCTCGGCAGTGATGAAAGGCGGGTCAACAACGACGAAGTCGTACGTGTTGGTTAGCTTGGCAGGAAAGTCGTCAGGCTCGCGGTAGTCGTAGAACACAAACTGGTCGAGCTCGTCCCACTGGCGGTCGTAGTCGAAGAGCGTGGCACGGGCCTGGACCTCCTTGGGCAGCGAGAAGAAAACCGAGGGCGTGGAGAGGCAGGCGATGCGTGTGCCATGCGCCACTGCCTCGCCCACCAGCGTCTCGATGGTCAGCGCCGAGTACCAGTACTGATTAAAGTCTCCATTCTCCGGCGTCTTCCGGAGGAACCTGTTCTTCTTCTTCTTACCTGTCGACTCGGCCATCTCGGTGCGCTTGCGCGTGACACGGGTCGGGTTGGGTGGAAGAGAGCGAGGAGGGTGGGGGGGTGGCGGGGGGTGGCGGGGGTGGTGGGGGGGAAGGGGAAGGGGGGAGGAAGAGAGAGGCTCTGGCGAATCTTCCATTCACATGGAGCGGGTGTGGCAGGTGTCGGCGGCCAGCTGCCAGGCGACTGGTATCCCAAACTAGGTACGCGTCTCACACACACACTCTCTCTCCCTCTCTCTCTCTCGCAGAGGTGCAGGGGTTGCTCGTCGGATAGTCTTTCGCAGGCTACCGGTGGACGGGTAATGGACGTGAGGCGAGCGGCGGTGGCATGTGGTCTGTCGACGGCAAAGATGCTGGCGAGGACAGGCGCGGTGCGGGCCGAGGTCAAGGACGCTGTGGTCGACGCCCTGCTCGTGGGAAACAATGCGGTGCTGGAGGCGGTGAGCGCGCATCTCCCGCACAACTCACCGTTGGGTTGGCCGATGGAGGCCGGAGTGTTTGTGGAGATGGTGTTGCCTGTGGTGATGGCGGGCGGCCAGAGCGTGGGCTCGGGCACGGACGTGTGCGGCGCAGTCCACGAGCGCAACCACGCCCGGCCAGAAACAGACGCAGCTGACCCGATTGCGGCACCGGCAGATGGCGGCGCTAGCGCCCGCGCAGCGGTGGCGTGCGGACTCTCGACGGCAAAGCTGCTCTGGCGCCGTGGCAGCATCGATGCAGCCACCAAGAGCCGCGTCCTTGACGCACTCCTTGCGCCGCGGCTGGCGCCAGTGCTGCTCGAGGCACTGCTCGAGGGTATCCCATCGGTTGACCCGCTGGGCACGCCCATGGATCCAGAGTGGTTCATCGATGGGGTTATTCCGGCTGTTGATGCTGGAGATGCACCGCAGCGTGCGACGCGCGTGCATCCTGGTCGGTCTCGGACCACGTCGCGCAAGTCACGCAAGTCACGCAAGTCGCGCAGCCAGCGCAAGTCAAGTCTTGTGGCCAGCTCGAACTGGGCTGTGTGGTGGCGAAACGCAAAGGACGTGGCTACTCTGGTGTGGATCATTCTCATCGGCGGCATCTGGTTGTTCTTCCTCTTTAGCGTCACATTTGCTATGCTGCGCAGCGTTGCCCACAAAGTATGGTCCGCGTTCTGACGGCAGTCAGCCGAGAGGATCCGGCGGCGGTGACGCGTCGTCGAGATCAGAAAGCGCGGCGGAAGCAACGTACCGCATGTGCGGGTGCCATCGCATAAAGTACGCCTCCCACAAGTGGAGGCGGGTCAGCGAGGCGATAACGGGGAGGACACCTGGGTCTGGCGAGTAGTTCGGGTTGAGCCAGCGGGAACGGCGAGCGCTGTCAAAGAGGACTGCCCAAAGCGAGCTGGTGACTTCATCGACGCGATGGTCGAGCCGCTCCCGCGGGCAGTCAAAGAGAAAGGTACCGTACCTTCCCGAGTAGCGAGCATCGATGATGGCGATGAGCAAGGACTCGTTAAACTCAAAGGCGGAAGGCGCCTGAGACATGATTTGCCACACCGCGTCCAGGAATTGGACAAAGATCGGCGCCCGCTGGTCATCCTCATAGTCCGGACAGAGCTGACCGGCACGCCGTGCAAACCGGTAGCCAAACGAGCACCACTCCTTCTCGATGAGGACGGCAAACCCATCGAGCGTCCGGTAGTATGGGTCGAGGATCAGCTCGGCGAGCGCACACATCTGTGCAGTTCGGTCCCAGCCGTCAGAGCAGTGGACAACAACCGACTCTGCGGCACGGTCGACAAATTCGACAACAGCCAGCACCGCCGCCAGCAGCGTCCGCTGAAGCTCCAGCCAGCGGGTCGACTCGAGGGTGGAGAGCCACTTGGACTGAGCTGCGGGATCGCTCGAGCTCGGCTCGGCAACCAGATCTCGGAGCTTGCCCATCGACGAGCGGACGACGTGGATATTGCCAATGTCCATGTACGCCAGGTCGACCGAGTCGTAGTTGGCTACCCGCTCGTAGCCGGCACCCTTGACCGAGTTGCCGAGCGCGTTAGCCCGCGGTCGGGCGTCCAGAATGTGCAGCGTGCCCGACGCCGGGTTGGCGGCCTTGATGGCGTTGAGCAACTGCTCGTCGGCAGGCGATCGCCGGCCCGCGAGCCCAGTCAGCGGCTGTGCACAGCGCACAATAGCCGCTCCGGTCCGTGGATGGAGCCACGAGAGCGCAGGGAGCCGGTCCTTGGAACGGAACCGCGCCGCCTGCGTCACAAGCTCGTCGTCAACGCTCGCCGGGAATCCCAAGACCGGCGGATAGGTGGCACAGATGCGAAACAAGCTGTTTGCCTGGGACAACCGCCATAGGTGCGCAGTCGGGCTTGGCAGCTCGGGCATCGGCAGCTCGAGCGTCGGATGCGTGCCTGTCGACGATGAGCTGCCGGCAGAGGTTGTCACGCCCATTCGGGCAAACTCTGCAAACACGTCGTACTCCCACCGCCGCACCATGTGCGGCGCAAAGGCTAGGACCAGCGACGGTCCACGGAAGGCGTGTGCTGCGATGGCGGCCTCGACCTGGGCACACACCTCGTCGCCCGCAGCGCCAAAGGCAAACTCAAATACCCGCTTCTCCTTGGTAACCACCTGCAGTGTCGTCGCTCCGCGCCACGGCCGCGACTGCATGACCCGCTCGACACAGTTGAGCGAGAGCTTCTGCGGGAGAACACTCGGCAGCCAGCGCGCAGCCGCGCCCAGCGCCTCGACTGCCATCGCCGACGGCGTGAACGAGAGCGTGAACCGCGTCACCGCAAGCAAGCCCGCCACCGCATCGCCCAGCCCCCAAGCTGGTGACTGCAGCACAAGCTGCGCCCCATCGACCGCCACCACCAGCGCCTCGCGCAGCATTTCCGCGTGCTCAAACGCCGCTTGCGCCCGCGCCTCCACCTCGGCCGCCGACAGTCCACCGCCGCTATGCACGAGCCGCCCCTCCTCGCCAGGCTCCTTGCCGGACTCCCCGCCGCCGGCCGTGTGCAACGCCAGCGCAGGCGCATTCTCCTCACACTGCGCCGTATGCGCCTCCACCTCGTCAAACGGCAGCATGGCCTGTTGCCACCTTGACCGGGTGAGTGGTGTTCGCCCACGTCACACCCACATACCCACACACACATACACACACACATACACATACACACACACACACACACACACACACACACAAACACACACACACATACCCCACAATTTGTGCACTTTGCGCCCTGCATTTCGAGTGCCGCCGCGGGCGGGTCGGCAGTCGGGTCCATGGAGCGTGAAGCAACGAGGAGTGGTTGCAGTCGTTGCATCTGGCACACGTGCTGGTACCAGTCGTCGAGTCCTTCGACTGTCCTGGAGGTGGCCACTCTTGAGGCGTGACGCTCGAGGCAGCGGCGAACCGCCTGCGTTGATGGCACTACAGCGCCCGTGGTCGAGGAAGCGCCGGTGACCTAGGCGTCCGACGGTACGTCGCGGCCGCCCCCGGGTGGCGAGGCTGGGAGCGTCGCTCGAGTCGGCATGATCTTACGCAGGAGCTCCGAGATCTCCTCGCCAACCGTGCCGGCCTCGGGCTCGGCTGACGGCGCAGCAGCGTGCAGAAGCGCGGAAGGCTGAGACTCGATCGCCGGCGAAAGGAGCGCGGCCTTGGTACTTGCAGACGCTCGCGACGCGACCACTGCTTGAGCAGTGGACTGTGCTTCTTGCTCTGCAGCAGCAGCTCGTGATGCGGCAGCAGCGGCGTGATCGAAGGCGACTGCAGCAGCGTCGGCGGCGGCGGCCGGCTCGGCGGCGGTGGCGACGCGGAGAGCCTCCAGCACGTCCGGGTACCGGCTGACCAGGCTCAGGATGCTCGGATCCGGAAGCGGCAGGCGTGCCACAGTGGCACGACTCTGCTGCTCAGACTGCTCGGACTGCTCGGGCTTGACGCGTGGCTCGAGCTCCATGTCGGCCAGACCGTCGTTGGAGGGAGGATCGAGACGCGCAGGCGTGGTCCGGACCACCCGCAACCGCACGTTGCGGCCGACGTAGATTGCAGCCGAGGCCGGAACGATCTGGACCGGATTGTTCGGCGCGATGCGGCGGGCGGTGCTCGGCGGGGCGTCGATGGCGCCGAGCCGGGTCCCGTTGGTCGAGTCGAGGTCGACAAGCCAGACCGCAGGCAGCGAGCCAACAGCGACGCCGCTGCCGGCGCGTCCGCATGCATGGGCCTCGGCGTAGAGCAGACAGTGCCGCTTGGACACGCCGCGGCCGATTGCGCCCTTGAGCACCACTGCCGCCGACGACGACGAGCCGACCAGGCGGCTCTTCTGTCCAAGCGGTGTCCGCGACAGGAGCTCCGGCGGCGAGAGCTGGTAGACCTCGACGGCATACACTGCTTTGTCCGTCGACGACGCCAGGCTGGCCTTGGTGCCTGAAGCCGCGGCGCGGCGCATGTACACGGGAGATGAGTGTGAGTCACTCGTCCGTCCAAAGTAAGTGTCTGCGGCTTTGTCTGTCACCCGTCTGCGAGTGCGACTTGGCGGCCAATGTAAATGTGGGCGAGTCAGTGACAAGGCGACAACTCGGCAGTCGCTGGGCGGTCGGGGCGGGCACCAATCCCTGACGTCGGGAGGTTCCAGTTCAAAGGCGACGGGGCGGTGGCGGGGAGGAGGGCAACCGGGTGGAGGAGAAGGCGACACGGGTTTGCGGCCGCACCAGCTGTCTCTCACCAAGACTTAGTAGGACAGGATGCGGGGTGTGTGGGCAGCAGTGGTGGTGGTACTGGCGCTGGTGGCGTCATGCGCAGCGTTCTCCAACCCAAAGTGGACGACCAACCCCTCGGGCAACCGGTTCAAGAACGCAAAGTTCTCGTTTGCCGCCCCCTTCCAGTTTGGTACGCCAAGGGCCGGATAGAGGATGCAAGGGCGTGGTCTGGATGGGCCTAGGCTGGCGACATAGCGCTGGACTCGCTGGCCGGAGTGGCAGGACGGAGTGGCAGGGCGGGACAGCGCCGGGGCGAGGTCAGGCGACGAAAAAGAGACTCACTTGGCCGAGGCGGGGTGTGGCTGGCTGCGCTGCGGGCGAGACAGTGGCGGGCTCTGCCATCCCGCACTGGGAGTACGGCGGGTCGACGCTTGTGATGGACGATTTCGTGCGGCTGACGCCGGACCGGCAGAGCCGGTCAGGCTGGGTATACAACGTGGATCAGTGCTTTGTGCACAACTGGGAGGCCGAGGTGGCGTTCCGTCTCCACGGCTCGGGCGCGCGGGTGTATGGCGACGGGTTTGCGGTGTGGTATCGGGCGGAAAAGGCATCGCAGGTGCAGGGCGGCCCGGTTTTTGGCCTGGCCGACAAGTTCAAGGGCCTGGCGGTGTTTGTGGACACGTTTGACAACAACCAGGATCGGGCGAACCCGCTCATCCAGGTCATGGTGGGCGACGGGCGGACAGCTTACGACACGATGGATGGCACGCAGACGATGCTGGGCCAGTGCTCGGCTGACGTGCGCGGGACGGCGGAGCCTGTGCGGCTCCGCATCCGCTACGAGGCCGGCAACCTGGTCGTCCAGTACCAGCTGCAGCCCGAGACCGAGTGGAAGGCGTGCGTCGAGGTCCACAACGTCGATCTCCCGCTCGGATACCACTTTGGCCTCTCGGCCGCAACCGGCGACGTGGCCGACAACCACGACATCTACTCGTTTGGTGTGGCAACCTCGGCGGGCTCAACGAGCTGCAGTCGGGAGCCAGCCCGGACCGCGAGCCGCAGGTTCTGGGCTCGGGCGAGAACCTTGTCGAGGGCGGCAAGACCGGGCCGGCCATCCAGCGCCGCAACCGTGTGCGTGCGCTTGAGAGCCCGCCTTCGTCGTCGTCGTTTGGCTGGGTTGCTGCCATTCTCATTGTCCTCGTCCTCGTGGGTGGCGTCGTGGCCTACGTTGTGTATGCTCTGTCGAAGGACGACAAGAAGCGGTTCTAGCCGAGGGCACCAGAGCTGCAAGATAAATCGGTTGCGACGACGATGCTTTGAGAAGCGAGTGAGCTGGAAGAGAGAGGCTTGCTGCAGCGCAGACATTTACTTACTTGGCAGCAGCGTGGCGGGCGCAAAAGGCGGCAATGCGTGCGCAGGCCTCCTTGAGCTGCTCCGGTGGCGGGGCAAAGACGATGCGGAAAAAGTTGGGCGCGTTGAAGCACGAGCCGGGGAGGGCAAAGACCGACTCCTCATCGAGGAGGCCCTGGACAAAATGCATGTCGGTGGTGATCGAGTCGTCAAAGGCGTCAAAGTCGATGCGGGCCATGGTGTACATGGCGCCCTCGGGGACGGTGCAGGCGATGCCAGCGACCGAAGCGAGGGCGTCGAGGACAATGCGGGCGTTCGCCTCGAGCTTGGCATTGTTGGCCTCGTGATACTCGGTTGGAGTCTCGGTGAGGAGCGCGGGGATGACCGATTGGACGAGGGTGTTGGCGCCGAGGGTGATCTGGGCGAGCTGGTAGAGAGCCCGGCGGATGGGCTCTGCGCGGCCCTGGTAGTCGTAGACGCAGATCCAGCCGACACGCCAGCCGGGGACCATGAACCGCTTGGCGAGGCCAGAAATGGCAAAGATGGGCACCCGCGGACGGAGCTGGGCGAGGGCGAGGCTCTCGACGCCCTTGAACACCATGCCGTGGTAGATCTCGTCGGCGATGATCGGCAGGTTGTACTTGGCGGCGAGGTCGAGGATGTCCTCGAGATGCTCCCGCGGAAAGACCGAGCCGCACGGGTTGGACGGATTGTTGATGACAATGGCCCGAGTCCGCGGCGTGATGCGGGCCTCGAGCGCATCAAGCTTCACCAGCCATGAGTTGTCGGGATCAAGCGGGTACTCAACGTCGACGACGCCGCACGAGCGGGCGGCGGTGCCGTAGAGCGCAAAGCCCGGTGAAGGAACCAGAATCTCGTCGCCTTCGTTGCACAGAGCCTGGATGGCGAGGTAGATGGCGCCTGAGGCGCCGGATGCGATGACCACGTCGTTGGGCCGGAGCTCGTTGCCCACGTCCGGGTACGAGTATGCGGCAGCGATGGCAGCCCGGGCGTCGGGCGCCCCAGCAGAGTGGGTATACCCATTGTGGCTCTTGGCCTCAAAGTTGGTGAGCAAGGCGCTGGCCGACGGCGGCGGCGCAAAGTTGCCAAACTTGGTCGGGTCGCCGAGTGCCAGCACAATGTGCTCCTTCTCGGGATTGCCCGTCCGGTCGATGCGCTCGACGACGCCGCGGATCGGGTTGACTGTCCGCATGGAGGTGATCGACGGCTGCAGCGGAGCCGCAGGCGCGGACGCGGCACGAGCGGCCCACCGCATGGCCATGCCCACGGAGAGGGCGGCCGAGGCGAGGGCGGCGGCAACAGCGACGGCCGGCGACGACGAAGACGACGGGGCGGAGGCGGAAGACGACATGGGGGCAGTGGTACAGTGCAAGACGAAGGGTGCGAGGGAAGGTGTTGAGCGAGTGGGAGTGGGGTGCGGGGGAAGGTGGGGGTGGGAGGGCACGCGAGAGGGGGGGGGGGGGAGGAGGGGGAGGGGAAACGGTCACGACTCCGTCACGTGTTGGATCCGTGGCGAGAGCGGCGACATGAAGGCAGGCGTCGCCAGGCAAGCGAGTACTCGAGTCGAGCACCGGTGACCTGCAGTGGCCGACGGGGCGGTCTGGCATACCTGTCGTGGGCTCGCGTGAGTGTTCGACCATGGCAAGTGCGATGCAGGCGGCGCGGGCTGAGGTGCGTGCGCGGGGAGCGGGGCTGTGGTGGGCGCTGTCGCGCAGGATCCTGGTGGCGGCAGAGGTGGCGCCCGTCAACTCGGCTACGGTGCGGCGCAAGTGGCGGCGTGAGGCGGCCAAGACGGCGGCGGCGGTGGAGGAGGCGCTGGCCGACGACGGCGGGGGCGGGGTGGCAGCTGCGGCGGGAGTGCTCGACGAGGCCGAGGCCCGCGGCGCGTGGTACGAGAACGAGCTGCTCGAGTCTGCAGCACTGGCCAAGTACCGGGCGATGCGGCAGCGGTACGGGGCGTCGTGATGTGCGAGCCAGCAAAGTTGAGCGTTTACGCGACGATGCCGCGGGTGGCAAGGTCCGAGGTGACTGAGTGTGCGAGGGTGGCGGTGGGTGCGGCGCCGTTGACCTTAAGCACCGCGGCCGAGTTGGCAAGGGCGGCGAAGAGGGCCGGGAGCGCGGCGTGGTACTTGCGGAGCTGGGCGGCGTCAAAGGGCTCGGACGAGCGGAGCGCGGTAGCGGCGGCAGCCTTAGCGCGGACGTCGTCATCGGAGAGCTGGACGACGATGACGGCGTCGAGGTCAAAGCCTGCGGCGCGGAGCGCCGAGAGTGCGGCGACGTCTGCGGGGTAGCCGTCGAGCACAAAGCCGTTTTCGGCGTCGGGCGAGGCGAGCTTGGCAACAACGGCCTTGGCGAGGAGGTCGGCGGGATAGGCGCCCGAGGCGGCGTAGGGAGCGGCGGCGAGGCCGAGCGAAGTCGACGCGGTTATTTCCGCGGCGAGAACGGCGGCCGGCGAGACGCTAGCGAGCGAGAGCGCCGAGGCCAGGGCCGCGGCGAGGCGGTGGGTGCCTGCGTGCGGCGGGCCGACGACAAGCAGGCGGGCACCCGACGCCGACGACTCGGCAGCAGTGAGGGCCGCCTCGACAGTGTCGGCGACAGCGCCGGCGTCATGAGTGGCGTCGATGCGGACGAGAACCTTGGAAAAGTACGTCTCAAAGTCGACAGCACGGGCGCGATAGCGAAGCATGGCGGCCGAGTGGTCGTCGAGGTTACGGGCGTCGAGCTTGGCACGGCGGGCGAGCTGCGCATCCGAGCCGGTGAGAACGACGACCCGGTGCGGCCGGATGTCGAGCTGCGCGAGCTCGACAGCAGCGGCTTTGGTCTCGGGGTAGCCGTCGAGGACCCAGCCGGAGTTCGTGTCGGCGTCGGCAAGCCGCAGCTTGACGGCGGCAAGGAGGAGGTGGTCTGGAACAACCGGCGCATCGAGGTAAGCGTGTGCGGCGAGGCCGAGCTCGGACCCGGCAGCAGCCTGCTCTTCGAGGACGAGGCGCGGCGAGATGAGGCCGACGCCGAGCTTGTCTGCGAGAATGGCGGCCTGGGTGGTGGCGCCGGACGCCGGCGGGCCGACAACAAGGACTCGGAGTGCGCCGTCCTGGTAGAGCTGTGAGACTGACGACGGCGGGGGCGCGGCGTCGGGTGCAGACTGGGCGGCGGCGACGACCCGGGCGGCGACCTCGTCAGGCGAGCCCTCGCCGGCGACGTGGACGTAAAGGTCCGAATGAAAGTCGTGCGAGCCCTGCGAGTGCGAGGCGTAGTGCTGCAGGCGCGAGATGATAAACTCTTCGTCGTCCTCCTCAAACTCGGCGACGCGGTCGGCAACGTCTGCTGGCGGCGGAACAAGAGTCCGGTGATAGAGGATCATGGTCTCTGGGTCGACGACCCGGCCCTGCAGCCTAGTGCGCGCACAATCCTCGGAGACATCAAGGCAGATGTAGCGGTTGATGTCGACGCCGTCGTCGTGAAGCTGGGATGCCATCCACTCAGTCTCCGGAAAACCGTCGAGGACCCAGCCGACCGAGCCGGAGGCGATGTCTGACGCAGCAAGGCGCTGCTTGATGACGTCGAGGATAACGTCGTCGGGCATGCGGAGCGCGTCGATGTAAGGCTTGGCGCGTGCGCCGAGCGGCGTCTTGCGCTCGATCTCGGTGGCAAGCAGCGCATGCGGCTGGATGTGAACAAGGCCCTCAGAGGCCGCGAGGCGCGCAGCCTGGGTTGTCTTGCCCGAGCCCGGCCGGCCGACGATGCAGACTGCGAGCGGGGCACGGCGCGAGCGGTGGGTTTGCGGTGCCGGCGCCGCTGCAGCGGGCACCGCCGCTGCTGCCGGCTGGGCAGCTAAAGGCTCAGTTTCGGCAGGCGTGGCGCGGAGGTTGACCGGGCGAGTGCGACGTGGAACTCGCGGCGAGCGGAGACCGAGCGCGCCGGTGCCTTGGACTGGCACTTGGTGCGGGAGGAGCGCAGAGGAGCCAGCGGCGTCCGCTGCGGCTGCAGCCGGCTCGGCTGGCGAGATTGCGTGGGCAATGATAAGCTCAGCGACGTTGACCGCCGGACGGGTGGCGTCAAAGACAGTGAGCTTTGGCCCGAGGTTCTCGAGGAGGAGAGGGACGGTGGCGTCGTACGCGGCCCAACGGGCGGCAAGGACATCGGGTGCATACTGGCTGCGCGGACGGAGGCGGCGCGCAATGACGTCTGGCACAACGTCGCGGTGAGTGTGCCACTCCTTGCCGGTAAACGGGTCGACCTTGAGGTGCTCGAGGCGAGCGAGGGCGACATCGCGCGGGACGTCCAGAAAGTAGGCCCGGAGCGGGGCGAGGCCGGCATCGCCGAGGGCCTTGTACGCAAGCTCGTCAAGGTCTGTGCCCTCAAGGACCCAGCCGCGGCGCTGCGCGGCGGGCGCTGAGAGGGCCTCGACGACAGCCTCGGCTACTAGCTCGGCCGGGAGGACCGGGTCGTTGATGTGAGCCTCGGCCTTGTGCCCGAGCGGCGTCTCGCCGGAGACGGCAGCGCGGAGCAGCATACGCGGCGCAACATGGACGAGGTTGTAGCGGTCAGCGACAGCGGCGGCGGCGGTGGAGATGCCCGAGCCCGGCGGACCGAGGATAAGCAGCTGGAATCGTGAACGCGACTTTGAGGCGGCCGGGCGGCCGAGGGCGGCAAGCATGGCGTCGGCGGCGTCGTCGGCGTTGGCGTCGGCGTCGGCCAGCTCGACGGTCCGCAGCGTCGGAGCAAAGACAGCACGGAGGTGCGGAAGCGCACGGGCATAAGCGGCGAGCTGAGCCGGGTCGGAGGCGGTGTCGGGCGCGGCGTCGGCCGGGAGGACCAGCTCGAGGACGGTGTCCGGCAGCAGGCCTTGGGCCTGCATGGACAGCGCTTGCAGCCGCGAGAGCGGCGCGCCGTGGAGGACCCAGCCGCGCGCAGTCGGTGCCGGTGTACGGACGGCGGCGAGGGTGAGCTCGACAACGACCTGGTCCGGGACCTCGGCAAACGAGGCCGCAACGTCGGCGAGGTGGCCGGCCGACGCCAGGACCTGCGCCACGTCGACGTGAACCGCGCCGAGCGCAGCTGCCAGCCCAGCTGCAGCCGCGCCCGTTGCCGCGCAAGGCGCGCCGAGCACCACAATGCGCGGGACAGGCGCGGCGCCGAGGAACGTCGCCATGGCCCGCAGCGGGTCTGCAGGCTGCGTCTCGACAACGTGCCGAAGCATGCTGGCCAGGAGGCCGTACACATCGTGCTCGGCCGCATAAACGCCCGCCCGCTCAGCAAACGCCTGGTCGGCGCAAGCCACGTTCTCCATGAGGGGGGGTAGGGGGGTTGGGGGGTGGAGCAGTGTCACGGCTTGTATGAGGGAGGGAAGGGGAGGTGGAAGGGACGGGACCGTTGTGTACTTTGGCGCCGGCCACAAAATCGACCACCGATCGTGGTGCGGCGATCGGGTCGGCGTTGGATGTTTCGACGGCACCAGCCGCCAACAGCGCGCTGCACGGTAGCACGAACTAGAGCTGTGCCTGAGTGGGATGATGAGCATGGTTGCGGCCTGATTCCTCAAGTTTGCCCGAGCTGACGGCGGGGTGGGCAGACGGACAGACTCACGACGAGGGTTCAGTCAAAACGACAAACCTGCAACAATTTTTGGGCAATTAAACTTATATAAATATAGTATATGTGGATAGAATTATTTAGTATATCGTTCAATATTGATTTCTTTGAAAATTTCATTGTGACAAATGTAATTATATATTTGTTGGCCAAAAATGAACAGTTGTAGGTTTTCACATGTCTGCATGTAAAGCCTCAAAAATAGGCAGAACAGCTTGATCGCGTTTTTCTCCATCACCATCACCCTACTCTCCTTCATCTCCCGCTAGCCGGCCCTACTACATACTAGCTACCTATCGATACCACTTTCTTGCTTTCAAAGATCGAGTTTCGGCCAAAAGAGCCAGTTGATCTCGCGGCTCGGCGGTGCAGCTTGGCGCGACCACTCCTCCATCCCGCGCCACCGCCTCCAGCAACACGCCCCGTGGCACCACACCTCGCTCCCGCAGCCCCGCGCACCATGGCCAGCGCTAGCCCCGTGCTGGAGCTGCCGAGGCACCCGTTCTTTGCGCAGCTCGCGAGCCAGAAAGCTGCAGACGCCGACGTCAAGGCGTCTGGCCTCCTCGCGGCGACCGCGACGGGCACTGTCCTCACGTACACCTCGACGACCGGGGCGCTGCATTCTGTCGTGCCCGGCGGCGGGTCGGGCAAGCACTCGCTCTTCCCTCCCCTTGGGTGGACACCGCACGGGCTGGTCCTCGCGCCCGACGGTGAGCGTGCCGCGCTCTGGTCGCCGTCGGGCGCCGCAGCCGTCGACCTCGCCCGGCTCTCCGGCGAGAGCGACGGCGCGCTGCGGGCGACGGCAGTCGGCGCCGGCTTCCTGGCTCGGAGCCCGGCAGTCCGGATTGTCAGCGTCAGCTGGCACCCGCTTGTTCCTACCGTCCTCGCAATCCTCGCTTCAGACGGCATCGTCCGCATGTACGACGTTGCTGGTGAGCCGGACCTACCTGTGGCGTCGGCCCGAGTCACGCCCGCAGGCGCCCGCCCGGTCGGCTTTGCCTTTGGCCTCTCGCCGGCGTCGGCGCCGGCGACTCACGCGTGGGAGCCGTTCACTGTTTACGCGCTTACATCCCGTGGCAAGCTTCACGCCACTTGCCCGGTCCTCCCGCCGGGGGCGCCGTTGGCGTCCTCGCACGTTGCCGCCCTCCACGCCGCCACCTCGGCCGACCTCGCCGCCGCGTCGTCAACCATTGGGCCAGACTCGTACGCCTCTCGCGCCCAGATCAAGCTCCGGCTCGCCTGGCTGGAGGGCGTCGCCGGCCCGGCACTAGCCTCCACCTCCGCCGCGCCCGACGCTGCGCCTGCCGGCGAGACCTGGTTTGCCTCGCTCTCGCCAGACGCCCTCGTCGACGTTCCGCCGCTTGTCCAGGGTCCGCTCTACACTTTACCCGACGGCGCCGGTGCTTCGCTGTGCGTTCTTGCCGGTGCGCCGCCAGTCATCGCTCTTGGCACGCTCACGGGGCTCGTCCACTTTGTGACGCTCGAAGAATACGTCGCACCGGCGTGGTGGGCGTCCCAGGAGACGGTTCGCGCTGCCTCAGTCGCTGTCAGCGCCCGCTCGCCGTCGCCGCACCACCGCAGCCGCGGCTCGTACGAATCGGCGGCCGACCCACCGCTGGCTGCCGACATTCCGCCGCCACCGTCGGCGCTTGTCGCGGCCGCAGATTTGCAGTGCGGCGCTGACAACCGCCTGTTTATGCTGGCGCGGTCACCGGCTGCGCCTGGGCGGCTCTTTGCCGCCTACACCGGCGGAGCCGTCGCGCTCGCGCTCCCGTGGCTCGCGCCGCTGGTGGCGTACTGCGCCTCGCCCGACGCTGGCCTCAGCCTCCCGCTCCCCGCCACTGTCGTGCACGACATGCTCACAACTGCGCCGCTAGCGCCAACGGCGTCAGCACCGCCGGCGGTCCCGGTTGTTGGCCTCGCGGTTATCGCCACGCCCGCCGCCGGCTACGGCGTTGTCATGCTCACCGGCGCGCTGCGCGTGTTTGTTGAGCCGCTCGACTTGCTCAAGCCCGGTCCGGCAGCAACAAGCCGACTGGACAGCACTGGCCTCACTGCTGCTGCTCCGCACGCCGTCCTTCCCGAGCTCGCACTCGGCGTCACCGTCCCGCAGCTTGCGCTCCCGGCGTCCGACCCGGTCACCTTTCCGGATGCGCTTAATGAGACAACGTTGCTCCACTTTATGGCGCTGGCCAAGTCCATCAAGGACGATCAGATCGAGCCGTTTCATCTCATGCACGCCGCCATTGCGCAACGGCTGAAGCTGCTGCAGTCGATGCAGGAGGTTCACGACCGCGAGCTGGCCGCTGCGCAAGCGCACTACGACGAGCTCGCAGCCAACTCGGGCCGCCTCGCCGAGCGGGTGGCGCAAGCAGTCGCTTATCAGGCCAACTTGAGCGCGCGCCTCGCGCTTGTCCTGCAAATCATCAACGAGTGGCAGCCGTCACTCTCGGCGGCCGAGCGCAAACATCACGCCATGCTTGGCCGGCTCAAGCAAGTTGTGGCAGAGTACAACGATCGGCTCGCCCATCTGTCTGGGCGCGCCGCTGCGCTCGACGCCTCGCGGCTCTCTGGCATCTCTACCGCTGTCGTCCAGATCGCGACTCAGCTCGTGGCCGTCGCCACCGACCTCGACGCCAAGCATGCCCCCATCATCCACGCACTCCGGGCTGCTGCCACAGAGCTCACCGCGCTTGCCGACGAAATGACTGCCGTGGCGACACCTCCCAAGGGCACGGCCACGCCCGGCGTCCACAAGGACGCCACCGCGCTCACCCGCGCGCTCGCCGCCGCCGGTAGTCTAACTGCTGCCGCCGAGCCGGCCTCGTCAGCGACTGCCCTATGCCAAGCGCTTGTCCAGCTGGTGGCCAGCGAGCCAAATCCAGTGCGTCGTGCCAGCCTCGATACACATCGGGTCGAGCTCGAGACGCTTGCCGCTCGCCCCGCGCCGCCGGCCGACCTGGCCCGGTTTGCCAAGACCCTCGTGCCCGAGCTCATTGCGTTGGCTCCAAACATCCGAGCGTGGACAGCGGCGCTTCACACTTGCTGCCAGAATGTCAGCGCTGTCATCAACAAGCTCGGCGAACTCGTGTACAGCGCCAAATTCCGACCCGAGTCGCGGAGTGATGCGGCCGAGCTCGAGGCGCTGGTTGAGCGGCTCGAGCTCGCGCGCATCGTGCTTGCGGGCGACGTTCTAGCTGCTATCGGCTCGCTGGAGGCCGTAGCAGCTCAGGAAGCCGAAGCCGAAGCGCCAGTCTCGGCAGCGCAGCTCGCGCAGATCAAGGCGCACTTGCAGACGCTCTCCGCCGTTCCGCGGCTGGTCGACCAGGTGGCGCGTGTGGAGGCCAAGATCCGGCAGCTTGGGTGAGAGCGGAGAAAGAGGGGTTGTTTACGATAAAGGCAACACAAGTTACTCGTCGGCCGGGGCCGAGGTGGTGGTGGTAGTGGTGGTGGCAGCGTCGTCGTTGGCGGGCTGCGGGGCGTCGCCCTCGGCATGGTCCGAGCCAGGGCCGTCCTCGTGGCGGCGCTGCGAGTAGACGCGGGAGGTCTTGGTGTTGAGGACCTTCTCGCCACGAGCCTCGCGCTCAGCACGCTCGCGAGCCTTGGCCTCGAGAACAGCGCGCTCGTCACGCGGCTTGGCGGCGCCAAACGGATTGCTCTTGGCCTTCTTGTAGTCGGCCGGCGGCGGGACGACGTTGTCCTTGGGCAGCGGCTTGGTGCGCGGGGCAAGCTGGAGGCGCTTGCGCTCGCCGCCCGACGGGCGCGAGCCAAAGCCGCCACGGTCGCCGCCACGACGGTCAAAGCCACCGCGGTCAAAGCCACCGCGGTCAAAGCCGCGATCGCCGCGGTCGCCGCGGTCACCGCGATCGCCGCCGCGATCAAACCCGCGGTCGCCCGCCGGGCGGGACCGCGGCGCCGAGCGCCAGTCCGACGACATCTCCGTCCGCGCCTGGTACCGGCGGCGGTCCTGCTCGCGGATCTCGGCAAGATCGATCTTCAGCGAGCGGCCACGCATCGGCTCGCCCGAGAGCTGGACAGCCTTGACGAGGTCGTCGCGTGACTCAAACTCGACGTAGCCAAAGCCCTTGATGCGGTCCTCAACGTGGTCGCGCGGGAGCGCCACCGAAATCGGGCGGGTTCCGGCGTCCTCGAAGAATGCGCGCACATCCTGCTCCTCACAGTAGTAATCCAGGTTGCCCACGTAGATCTTGAACGGCGGCTCGTGCGGGCAGTCGTCCGGGTTGACCAGGTTGCGGAACCGGTCGCCGTCGTCCTCGCCGCCGCCACGGCGGTATCCGCCGCCAAACCCGCCGTCACGGTCGCCGCCACGGTCGCCGCCGTACCCGCCGCGGTCACCGCCGTAACCTCCGCGGTCGCCGCCACGGCCGCCGCCGTACCCGCCGCGGTCGCCGCCGCGGCCGCCGCCGTACCCGCCGCGGTCGCCGCCACGGTCGCCGCCATAGCCGCCGCGGTCGCCGCCACGGTCGCCACCACGGTCGCCGCCATAGCCTCCACGGTCGCCGCCACGGTCGCCACCGTAGCCGCCACGGTCGCCACCGTAGCCACCACGGTCGCCACCGTAGCCGCCGCGGTCGCCGCCGGTCGGGCCGCGCGGAATGTCGTTGTCAATGGGCGAGTCGCCCCAGACCCGTTGTCGTCTGGAGCGGAGAGAGGGGGGGGGGGGGGGGGGCTTAGTGGGTTGTATTCCGAACACTGATGTGATTCGATGGCCTTCTTTGCTTAAATCACTGAGTTAGTTGCAACATTCGCACTCAAGTTTCTTGGCTCCCTTTTGCGGTTTAATGACAGGCTTGTTAATGGTGTTGTCAAAGGAGGGAGCCTTCACTACTTTGATTTGTAGCTTTTTCGAGCATCTTCTAGATTTGGTGTTAACTATTCTCATCGTTTTGTGGTAAATCATGGAATAGAGGGAGTTCTAAAAAAAGCGCAAATAGAGAACTTCATGGTATGGATGCAAGATTCTGGCAAACCGACTCTTATTTAAAGATTGATCATTTGGAGTCGTTTGGC